TGGTTGAGAGCTCATACTACACCTCCAAAGGAACCGAGCTGGGTTCCCAGCACCCACTTTAGGCTGCTCACAATTCCCAGTTAACTCCATCTCTTGAGGGGTCCGACTCCTCTGGCCTCTGTGGGCACCTGCACTCATATGCACATACTCCCACACAGACACATATACATATAGCTTAAAAAAATAAAAATAAATCTTAAAAGAAAAAAAAAATGGATGGCAAGATAGAGATTTTCCTCTGGCCTCCACATGCACGAACACACACAAATGAGACATGTGTTTCTGCACTTTATGTAGAGATTTACTACCTGTGGCATGCCCTTCTTGAGTGAAAAGGGTTCTGGAGATGTTTGGTCTTCTGTAGAACAAAAGCATTGGATGGAATGTGTTGCCAGATTAAGGGAATAAAGTTCTCTGATTCTCAGGGACCCACCCTAACTGAGGTCAGAATCCCCAAGGCTGCCAAATAGGACACCCCTGTAGGAGCTCACAGCAGGAAAACACCATGCTCCAATGCCCGAACACACAGCAAGAACTCAATAAGTATTTGTCAAATAAGCAAATTCCTTGGGCAGGGCAGCTTTCACAGCAGCAAACAGTGTTCCTTGTCTCTCTCTCTCTCTCTCCCTTTGTAGAGATCCCAGGCAAATGAAATGCTTTCTCCTTCGGGTGGGACACTCTCCTCTGGCTCACAGCTTTGTTTGTGTGCTGTGTTTTATTCTCCCTGATGGAAACACCATGATGGACTCTGGGAAATACCCTGCTCTCGTCAGTACTGTTTACACATTTTGCACACCCCCTCCCCTGGCCTCTGATTGCACTCCACACTATTGGCATTCCCCTGCACCCTGCCAACTTAACATAAGTTCTCAAAGGCCCCGTGTGGTTCAAGTTGACCTGCCCATACCTTTCCAGGCATTTCTGCAATTTTGGCCCCTCTGAACCGAAGTCATGAGCTCATCTTCATCTGGAAAGGCAACTGTCCTTTCCATATATTTTTGTTTTTGAAACTGCATCCATTTTTGCCTTGCCTCAGCAATGTCTGTCTTCTGTTTCCTCAAGTAAGTGATCAGCTGGCCAAGGTCGAAAGCCTCCCTCTGAACTTAGCCTGACTCATCTCCAAATACAAACTATTCTCTGAGACAAAGACACTGGACCAGACACAAACACAGACATATCCATCTACCTGAGTGTGTGTGTGTGTGTGTGTGTGTGTGTGTGTGTGTGTGTGTGTGTGTGGTCAAGTGATACTCTCAGGTATTATTCCCCAGGTACCTTATTTTTTGAGACAAAGTGTCTCAATGGCCTGGAGTTTGTGGATTGGGCTAGGCTGGTTGGCCAGAGAGCCTCAGAGATCTGCCTGTCTCTACATTCCTATCTCTGGGATTACAAATCCTTGCTACCACGCAGCTTTTTTCCATGGGTTCTGAGAACCAAACTCAGGTTCTCATGTTGGCACAACAAGCATTTTACCCACCCAGCTGTCTCTCTAATCCTACTCTACTCTTTCCATTGATGTTCAAGAGTTTCCCATCACCTGGCTGGCCATGAATGGGCTGGGATGATGGACAGCCAGGCGCTGTGGTTAGACATGTGGGAGGAAACAGCCACCTCCATTTCCTGCCCTGGGTGAACTTGGCAGAATGTCAGTGGTTTCCTAACCTGACTCTGTCCTCCATTAGATCAGGGTTGAAAGGGCTCATCACTTTCCTTTCCCAGAACATTACAGGGAATAGAACACTCAGTAAAGTGTTCTCCATGCAAATGTGAGAATCTGAGTCCCAACCCCCAGACTCACACAAAAAGCAGGGTGCAGTGGCATGCATCTGTTATCTCAACACTGGGGAGGCAGAGGCAAGCGGACCCCTAAGGGCCACTGCTCAGTAAGTCTAGCAATTGGTGAACTCCAGGTTCAGTGAGACAGTGTTCTCAAAAAATATGATGCAGAGTAATTGAGGAAGATTTGACCTACACACACACACACACACACACACACACACACACACACACACACACACACACTTCAAAACATCTATTGAGAAAGTACTCAAAATGGCTGGCAAGGGGAGCTTTATCTGTTGTGTACCACGAGAGAATCCTATGAGCAACCTCATCAGCTTTAAAAGTATTGCAACTTCTCCACAATCATGGACCCTCCTCTAACAAGACTACATTGGCTTCTTCTCTGAGAGGTTTCAGGATAGCAGAGTTTCCTTGAGAGATGGGATGATGGGAAGGAATGGGAATCCTCTGCAGAGTTCCAGGAAAGACTGATATTTGAGCTTGCTCCCTCCTCAGCCTCCCCCGAAATACTTCCACAAGTTGTAACCTGGAATGGCTGCTCTCAGAAGCCAGAAATATGACAAAAATTCAGATAAGCCCGTGCGATCCGGAGCACAGGTTCACTCTTGGTTGGCAAGGATGGCAGCGGCGCACACTTGGCTTTCTTTCATCCAGCAACCTGCCACACCCTCTGGAGAAGTATTTAGCTGCTGCATGCAGGATAAACTAAGGCAATCAATTTTAATGCACTGACTCTGGTGTGGGTAGTGTATAAAGGAGGGAAGTCTTAAGTCTAGAGGAGTTCGTATTCACGTTTAAGGGACTAAAAGTGAAGTCTACCAAGTTCAGCCGTCTTTTTTTTTTTTAAGTTTAGTAGTAATGCAGAGCTTGAATTTGCTTTTGAATCCTGGTTCGGGCAGCTTCTGAGATAGTAGGGTATAATTTACAGGAGTTGTTGAGGATTAAACAAGGTAGGCTGCTGACATTCCTAGAGTGTGGTGGGGGATGGGAATGCAACAAAGTGGTGTCCTGCCCACTAGACAGGGCCATCCTCAGTCGTGCCGAGATTTGGGTCTCTCCAGGTGCCAGCGCTGAGTCAGTGGTGAGCTGAGTTGAGTACTGTTGTTGCAGGTACACTCAGCCTTCTGCTGCTGGACACATGGCTTCAAACATGTTTTCCTCCTCTGAACTCGGTTTGGGATCATAAGCCGAAGCTTCCCTCACAGAACATCTAACAGAACCAGCTTTATTCAAGGCCTCTACAACAAAAACCCTCAGCAACCCGTGAGGATTCCAGGGCCCCCAAAACTGGCAAGAACTTCAGGGAAATCACAGGATGATTTCTTTGCCACATGATTAATCCTGTTTGGACTGGTCCCGGAAGAGCACACATGGGTTAGCGGCAAGCAGCAGCTTTCAGAATCTTACAAAAATTAATTGTCTAAGAGACAGGCCCTGGGGTACAGGCTTTGAATGAAAGTTCAGAGGGAGGGTGGGGCCTGGTGACGGAGGAAGATGCCAGATGTGAGGACAGCAGGCCTCTTTAGAATCTACTAACACCTTAGAGATGGCAAAGGGGGTGGGATTATAATACTAAATCAGTATGGCACATGGCCCTAATAGAAGAATTAGCACAGCACAATCACCTCCAGTCTGGCTACCCAATAATAGCTCAACTCAGTGGAGTAACTCATCCATATTCATTATTCTCAGACAAAAACCCTGCACGCCTCAATCTTGCAGCAGAACAACCTGCATACAACAGACCACATGACCATCCCTTTGGCCACTGCTTTCTTTACCAGACCTCTTTTTTTAGCTCTACAGCTTCTGGGATAGCACAAAGATGACTTTGAGCACCTTGCAGGCTGGCTTAAGAGAGTTGCAGCCTACTCTTGCCTGGGGGGAAGGATGTTAGCCAGCCTCTGACTTTCCTCGGATGTGGTTCGGGTGAGTGAAAAGTTGTATCATTTACACACATTGTCTCGCCAAAACGGAAGTAGAACTGAAATACAGAACTGTATATATCCTAGTGCAAGGAGAAGTTTCAAAGATAGGATTGCCAGAAATAGCCCAGAGCCCCATAAAGAATAGCTTCGTCTCTTTGAAGCAGACAGCCCCGCCCAGTGCATGCTGTATAATTTCCCTAAGACTAGGTAGGTGCCGTCTGTGGAGAATTACAGAAGCCTAGGCTCACATAGACCACTTCCCTCACCGGAAAGGGCATTCCTCCTTCTCTGAAGACCACTGGCTTGCTGAGGCCTTCAATCAGTATTTAGTGAGCAACTGGTACTATCAGGTGATGTTTTGGCCCCAGGGATCAAGGTTAGAGCTGAGATTCCACCAGGGAAACAGACACAACTAAAAACACAAGGCAAGAAATAAAATAGGGTGGGTATGATCCTGAAGCCCAGGCTCATTTCAAACTTGCTATGTAGCCCCCAGGATGACCTTGAAAACTCTCATCCTCCTGCCTCCATTTCCCCAATGCTGAGATCACACAGGTGAACATCACTATGCTGGTTTTTGTACCTTGCTGGGGATGGAACCCAGAGCATCATGCATGCAAGGCAAGGACTCTGCCAACTGAGCACATCTAGGCTCCACTGGTCTTTTACTAACGGCAGTTCATCCATTGAGTCCTTGGCCAAGTTCAATACATGGCCTCAAACACACTTACACCTCACTGCTCACAGCAATCCTCCAGGTCAGGAGGTACAGCTTTAGCATGCTGGACACCCTGGGTTCCATCCATTCCCAGGGCTGGACATAAAGGAAGAAGGAAGGAGGCAGAGACAAGGTTGCTAAGACAGCAGCCTTCGGTTCCCCTACTCTACTCCAAGCTGTTCTGCCTCCCACCCGGGCTACCGTCTATCCCCCAAAATGGGACCTCTATGTCCTCTCGCCTGTTCCTCTCATCCAGAGACATTAACCATTCCTCTAATACACTGCTCTTTGGGCCAATCCAGTCTCCCTTGGCTGACACCCTCCCACCCCATGTCATTAGCCCCCGGGGTGGGGGGGGGGGACATTCTGCACCGCTACCACCTGTGGATCCAGACGACTCCTGCCACACCCACTGGCTGTTCCTGGGGACTTGGCTCCTTCTAAGCTGCCCCAGCTCTCTCCCTGGCACTCTCAGATCCCAGGCCCAGGCATCCCCGCCTCCCTCCATCCCCACCAGCAAGTGCTGGTAGCCTCTCATGCCGGGCGCTTACCTCCCTGCGCAAAGTGCCAGAACCACGCACTCCCGAAAATCCAAAACAACACTGGCGCGGTCCACATCTTGATCTCTTTGGAGCCTCCCCCGCTACTGGTTTTTGCGGTTGTGAAAAGATGAAAAAAGGCTTCGCAACTATAGGCCCAGCCGGGAAGAAGTCAGCAGGAGGCTGGAAGGCGGTGAGTAAAGTCTCAGCGACAGAGTGCCCCGGCTTCCTTGGCTCACCGCAGCAGGCACAGCAAACTTGGCAGCTAGCAACTTCTCCGCGGCCGGCCGTCAGCTTTTATGTCTCCGGATTCGGGGCGGGAGCGGGTGGGCGTCAGGTGGTCCCAGCCCAGAGATCTAGGACCGCCCCCCGACTCTGTTTGGCCAGCATCACAAGATGACCTCAGGCCAGGTTTAAAGTTACAGGGCCTCAGCCACTGGAGCCCAGCCCAAGCCAAAAAAAAAAAAAAAAAAAAGCTTTTGAATGCTCCACCACAGGAGAAAGAGGGGCCACATGCAGTAAACAGTTCTGCTTTATAATTTTTATTTATTTTTCTACTGTATTTATTATTCTGTTTTGAAGGGGAAAGCACAAAATTTACGTTTTCCTTTTTACTGGGCTAAAGTGAGACTCACACGGTGGTCCCTGTGGCCGTTCCTTGGTTTTAGAATCACACATTGAATTTTTAATTTTTTTGTAAATACTCAAACTGATGGTTTAAAAAAAAACAGTGACTGTCGTTTGGGTGGGTCGGAGGCGGTTCCTGTTAATTAATTGAGCCCTCATCCAAGGATGAGTGGCTGGTGGAGTGCCTGTCCCTTCACAACTGGTCACCAGAGCGGTACTTAGCCTTGTGGGTACTTGTCTAGGAGGGGTACTGGTCTGGGTGGGGCGCCTGGGCTGGTAGGGTGCTTGGCCCTAGCGGAGTTTTGAAAGGCAGAGCACATGACGTCTCCAGATACTGGGACTTTGTGGCTTCACCTGGAGACGTGAGCAGCTGTGTCCTCTGGCAGCGGCCACTCACCTGGAGCTAAGAGTTCCAGCTCATCCGTTTTAATCCCAGGGTTTAAGCAGTAATCCTGGGATTTGAACATCTCTCTCCTCGGTCTCAGGGAGTGGGTATCAGCAAGAGAACTTGTCTCTATTCCCTTCGAGCCTGTCGGAATTGAAGAACAAGGTTGGAGAGGTGGTCCTGGCTCCCCGCCCAGATGCCATAAATTCCATTCAACAAAAGTATCTGAAGATGGGCTCGAGGACAGCTCAGCCACCAAACCTGGTGACCCACAATGTGAAAGGGAAGGACTGAGCCCCCAGAATGATGCCTCTAACTCTCTCTCTCTCTCTCTCTCTCTCTCTCTCTCTCTCTCTCTCTCTCTCTCACACACACACACACACACACACACACACACACACACACACAAAATGTAAAAAATGAAAATTAAAAACAGAACTTAAGGATGAATGTTCTCCAAGTATCCCAATGGGGGGTGAAAATGGGCTGTTTTCATCCTTTTTTCTTTGACCTCTGTTCCAAACAGACTTCATCTTAAGAATTACAAGAGTAGAGTTTTTGTTTGTTTGTTTTCTGAGACAAGTTTTCTCTATAGAACAGTTCTGGCGGGGATTTTTTTTATTTTTTTATTTTTTTGGTCAAGAGCAGATTTTTAAAACTATTTAGTGTGTGTGTGTGTGTGTGTGTGTGTGTGTGTGTGTGTGTGTGTACCCATGCACATGTGTGCACATGTGTATACATGAGGTGTGTGGGGACCCATGACATGGTATGTGTGTGAGGTCCGAGGACAGCTCTGTGAAGTCAGCTCTCTCCTAACTTTACATGGGTTCTAAAGCTCAGACTCAGGTTGCCAGGCAAGCCCTTCTATCTCCTGAGCCAAGATTATTTTTAAAGCTCAGAAAGTGGCAGCACATGCCTTTAGTCCCAGTAGGAGGCAGAGACAGGCAGATCTCTGTGAGTTCGAGGCCAGCCTGGTCTACCGAGTGAGTTCTAGGACAGTCAAGCTACACAGAAAAACCAAGTCTCAAAAAACCAAAAAAAGAAAAAGAAAAAAGAAAGCTCAGACTCTCATCTCCCATCCCACTCACTGATTAATAAGCCTTTTTGGGGAAATGCTAGTGTGAACCAGTATCCCGGGAAAACTTGCTCACAGGGACAGTTAGCAAGCTGTGCCCTTTAGCAGCATTCTGGTGTCACCTACCAGAGTGAGAGGGGGGCTGCCCACACAGCAGCAGGTGTGACTGGGCAGGCAGGAGGTCTTCCATATCTAGGAACTGCTCAAGGGACAGTGACTTGTCCTGGGGCTACAAGACAGGAATGAAGTGGATTCGGGGAAGTGAGAAAGAGAAACCTGGGAGAAATGGGTTGGTGTTGCAACATCATTTCTTCTGTGTGAGTAATGTGTATTACAGACTGAGTGCCATGCACATGGTCTGGGTGGCCTCTTAGACAAATAACAGAGGCCAACGGGCTCTACCTTGGCAACTGAAACAGCCTATATGGAGGAGGGGTTAGGAATAGAGTAAGAATCCACGAAATAAATCCATCACCTGCTCTTCTCTCCCTACGTCATAGGGATGTGTCTAGGTTGTAGAAGGCTGGTCCCCTACCTTCTTGTAGAGGGTGGAGGAAGGGGGCATAAGTGGAAACTGAATTCTGTTGGGAGTCTGGGGACAAGGAGAGGACTGGAAAGAGGACACAGGACTGGAGAAGTCTGCTATGGTTCTTTATGTTGTCCTTCTGAATAACCAGGTGTGTGTGTGGCCCCAAGAAGAGTCACTGAAGGACAGGAGTGGGGGAGGGGGTTACATTCCACAACAATGCAAACAGCAAGTTAGAGATGCCTTGGCCCTGGGCAAAAGATACCCAGGAGAGATACAGAGCCAGTAAAGCCTTAAAGGTGAAATCCAGCTTGGTGGGGCAGGGGACCACACATGACAGGGACCACAGGGACAATGTGCAGAGGGGTCCTTTCCACTTGTGACACAGCCTGCGTGAAGACTAAACAAACAAAGGCGGAGGCAGAAAGACTGGCGCCTTGAGATACCGCTCACAGCCCCACCATTTGTAAATCTTACCTTGCAATCTCACCTGATCTTCCAGTCGACCTTTGCTCTAGGATCATAGTATTCAAGGAAAATGGCTTAGCACTGATTCACCTGGAGGGCTGGCTAACACACAGGTCACTGGGGTCATTCCAAAGTTCTCGTTCATTAAAGGAAGGAGAGCTGGGCTGTCCTACACTGAGAAGCACTCCTCAGAACATACCACAAACCATGTGGAGTCCTATAGAAAATGAACGGGGAAGGAAGACATGTATCTCTCTGTGGCTGACCAGGGCTGGAGCCTATTGTTAATCTGGGTCTTACATAAGATAATAGAAGGAGCTAAGATGACCCAGACAGTATGGGACTCTTTGTTCTGGGGCACGCTGGAGGTTGGTGTTGGGTCTCTGGTGCTGGAAGCATTCTTTGAGCCCTCTGCACAGCCTGGAGAGCAGGCTACCCAAGGAGACACAGTGTTCCAGGGCTGAAACTCCTTCAACCGACTTTCCAAAGGCACGAAGCATCTCGGTTACCCCTGAATAGGTCATTTCTTAGGGCTCAGGCAGGGGCAGGAATAAGGTCAGGCTGTGAACTCACAACACCTTGGTTTGCTGGAAAAAGCCTTGGGCCACGTGAGCCCCAGAGTCTGCATTCTTCAAGAGTGTCCTTCTCACTCCAGAGAACTCTGCATACAGCCAGGATCGGATCCTGATGGTGGCTGTTTCTGCCCTGTTGAGTTCTCAATCTCTTTCCTCCTCTGGTGCTGTTTGTACCCACCAGGAAACTCAGTCACTAAACACTAGTGTGGGGCAGAAGTTTTTAAAATGGCTCTAAGGGGACCAGTTTCTTTGATCTAGGGCATGGACCACACAACACAGAACTAAGTTAAGCATGGGGTCATTCTCTCTTCCTGGCCAACCTTTACCCAAGCCTGATTTATGAGGGTCCCATCAGTCTGCCCACTCCTGGGAAACTGGACTTATTTCCAGTTCCACCTATAAACTGGTACTCTACACTGAGACCCCAGCCAGGAAGCCAACTTCTGCTGCTCCATGAGTAGGGACTGGCTTGATTCTGACCCCCTGGTGTCCTCTAAGTGCCAGAGTGCCCATTGCTGCCATGAGATCTCCCTGATGCCAACTGCTCCTCCTGATATCAGTCATCATCTCATGCCTCCATTCCAGTAGGGCTGCACAACCATTTCACCTTCAAACTCCCCAAAGAATTTTTGCAGAGCTAGGTACCCATTTTCCATACAGAGTTGGATAAGCACAGTCGTCCTCAGTGTGTGTGGAGGTGGGTTCTGGGGATACTATAATCCACAGATGTTCAAGTCCCTGTGGACAATGGGGTTTGTTGTGGAATATTATTTTAACTTTGTAAAGGTGTATTACGTTTGTTTCTTCTGCCTTTGTTAACAATGCAAAGACGTGTTACATTTGTTTGATTAAATAAAATTAACCTGGGGGTCAGGAGGCTGAGTCAGCAACTATCTGACAGGAAGTGGTAGGGAGGAACTAAGTGTAGTGAGGATTCTTTAGTGGGGGCTGAACAGAAAGACGCCCCTTTTTTTGGGAGACGTGAGCAAGAAGAAAAGGTGAGCTGTTTGCTATTCTGCCTCTCTGAGCTAGCAGGATTTTGCCTCAACCTTTGAATCCTGAGTTCAATAGAAGGATAGAGATTTAGATAAAGTTTGCTTTAGTGACCATGATAAAGCCTGTGCCTGAGGTAAAGGAATTCCCACCTCCTGCGGCCCCGCCCAAACCACCTAGTAGCTGTGGAGTTTCAATTGTAGTCAGGACAGCAGTTGCTTAAGGTGCAGCCACTGTATTGAATGCAAACAACAGGGGTTGTATTTCCAGGTTATTGTAACATGTCCTCCCAGGACCTTAAAGCACAGCTAATAATAACTAATGCGATATCGATACCATGTGCTAATAAATAGCTGCTGTAATATATTGTTTAGAGGGAATAGGAAAGAGGAAAATGTGTATGTTCAATACCCACTCCTTTTTGAGACAGAGTCTCACTGTAGCTCTGGCTAGCCTGGAACTTCCTATGTAGACCAGTCTAGCCCTGAAATCATGGAGATCTGCCTGCTTCTGTCTCCCTTATGAAGGGATTAAAATTGTGCACCACTATGCCCAGGTCTTTAAATATTAATCTGTGGTCAGTTGAACCCATGGATCCAGGGACTGATTGAACAAGATGTTGAACGTGTTAAGCATTTCATAAAGAGAAATAAGGTGGGACTAGA